CTTCTTCTGAGAGCGCCTCCCTTGAGATAAAGGACCACGGAGGCCACCGCTGTCTCTGAGCCACAGCTGCTCTCACATACAAGACCCTGGCCTTGTCCTTGGGCGGCCCTCAGAGGCCCAGCCGGGCCACTCCAGACATTTTACAAAAAAAGTGACCCATGCCGAAACCGGTTTGGCTCAGTGGATCAAGCGTCGGTCTGCAGACTCAAGGGTCTCAGGTTTGATTCCGGTCAAGGATATGTGTACCTTGGTTGCGGGCACATCCTCGATGGGGTGTGTACAAGAGGCAGCTGATCGATGATTCTCTCTCATCAATGTTTCTAACTCTCTGTCCCTCTCTCTTCCTCTCTGTAAAAAATTAATAAAATATATTTAAAAAAAAAAAAAAAAAGTGACCCAGGAAGGGAAGATAAACTGCCCAAGCAAACCCAGCTGGCAAGAACTTACTCAACTCCAACCTGGGTGACTCCGTCACACACACAGAACCCAGACTCATCTGATTGCAGCGACACCAACACGTTTTCGTTAACCAATAAATAACCATGCAAACCCAGTCTTATATCACTCCACATGGTCACCGAGAAAGAGCTGGAACCCAGTTTTTGTGCGATAAAGAGCACTTGGGAGGAACCCTGTGGCCTTTCTGTGGGAACTTTCACTGCCTTCTCAGAATCCCCCTTCTTGTACAACCATAACCTTTCACTGAACAGTGGAACCTCGCTTCTCGAACTTCATTTGGTCCAGGTGGCTGTTTGAAAGCCAAATCATTTCTTCCCATTAGAAATAATGTACATGGAATGAATTCATTCCAGACCCATGATTCCCTGTTTTCACCTCTCTTGTATACAGTGCATGTCTAATGTGCTGTTTAACTTATAAACAGACACTTCTTAAATGTATGGAGCCACCCCCTTCTAGCCTTAAACTATTAATAATGACTTCCAGCATTCATCCCAGGGTTACAGCATTTTGGCTTTTCACTATCACTGCCTCCGAAATGCTGTCATCACTGGCTAACTGCTTTTCCTTTATCCAAACCAACAAGTTTTTATACTTCTTCAATTCCTGTGATCCGTGCTTTATGAGCACTTTCACACCCTTAGCAACATCAGCGCCCTTGATGGCCTCTTTATGTTTTAAAATTGTGCTAAACATCCATTTACCAGCAGCAACAAAAAAAGGAGAAAATATTCACAGCACTGTGGTAAACTGACTCACCCTCTCTCCTTTGTTTGTGGCCAAGAGACACTTTTTGTTATGCTGATGTCTCAGCATGAAAGGGTCATCAGGTTGAGGACTGAAGCCTTTTTCTAAGAGAGACATTTTTTTCCATGACAGAATCAGAGATGTTTTTGAATTGTTCCAGATCAGAGATGTTCCAGAACCTAGGTTTGACTATCCAGGGTGAGAACAGCCAGGCCAGTCCAGCAGGCCGAGTTCCGTCAGTCTTGAACAAGCCCATGTTCCTATCCCGGCGCTTACTCTTGCAGGAAGGACATCCCTGTGTCACTGAAAATCCTCTTTCCATCAGAAAAAGCTACACATGCCCTAACCGGTTTGGCTCGGTGGATAGAGCATCGGCCTGCGGACTAGAGGGTCCCAGGTTTGATTCCAGTTAAGGGCATGTACCTTGGTTGCGGGCACATCCCCATTGGGGAGTAAGCAGGAGGCAGCTGAATCAATGTTTCTCTCTCATTTATGTTTCTAACTCTCTATCCCTCTCCTTTCCTCTCTGTAAAAAAAAAAAATCAATAAAATATATATTAAAAAAAAGAAAAAGCCACACACACACACACACACACATTCATGCACGTGTATTCATGTGAATCATATTGATTCATACAGGAGGTTCAAAGAAAAAGAGCTACGAAAGCCGATCAATGCATGGAAAGGTCGCCCTCACTCCTTCGGGAAGGCTGGCTCCACTAGGCCAGCAATGCTGGAACGGAAGTGATAGTATCCACTGCAGCCCACTAGAATCTGAGAACCTACCTAAGTAAACCCAAAAGTTGAAGAAATAAGAAAGTAAGGGGTCCATTTTTAAAGACTAGAGAGAGGGCCCTTTAAAGATACTATCTATTTTAATACATACATACTGGGTCCAAACATTATATCGTATTGAGCAATGAAAATTGTGCAAATAAATTTCTCCTAATGGGTTTTATGGCATCTTGCCTTCAATATATTTTTTTTATTGATTTCAGAGAGGAAGGGAGGCTGGGAGAGAGATAGAAACATCAACGATGAGAGAGGATCATTGATATTGATCGGCTGCCTCCTGTATGCCTCCTGCTGGGGACCAAGCCCATAACTCGAGCATGAACCCTTGATGGGAATCAAACCCAGGACCCTTCAGTCTGTAGGCTGACACTCTCCACTGAGCCAAACCGGCTAGGGCTTCTCTTGCCTTTATTTTTTTTTTAATTTAAAAAAATATATATATTTTATTGATTTTGTACAGAGAGGAAGGGAGAGAGATACAGAGTTAGAAACATCAATGAGAGAGAGTCATCGATTAGCTGCCTCTTGCACACCCCCTACTGGGATATGCCCACAACCAAGGTACATGCCCCTGACCGGAATCAAACCCAGGACCCTTCAGTCCCAAAGCCCTCACTCCTATTCATTGAGCCAAACCGGTTTCGGCATCTCTTGCCTTTAGAGGGGCCTTTCCTTATCCAGTCCAATGATCATCCCATAAGACCCTCATCTCGAAGTCCACCAGAAGCCAGAGGCTTTCCTATTCTAGGCACATAGACTATTCCTATGACTATTCTGAGATTTAGACCAAAGTTTTTAAAGCTGAGATTCATGTCAGCGAGTCCCTCTGCCCCCAAAAGGCAAATACTGTCCCTCACCCCGGGTGTCTGCCTGCCTGTTCAGGTTCTCAGGAAAGCAGATGATCCCAGCAGCCAAACAGAGCTGTGCGGAGTTCTGCCTGGGGATACGCCACTTTCTGGAGCCTGCCTCAGAGTCTAAAATACCTGCCCCGGGCGCAGTAACACATGCAGGAAACTCGGTCCACGTGCTCTGACAAGCCCAGTAAGACCAGCAGACACACCAGGCAGAAGCCACTTCAAGTCACCGCACAGGCCCTGAGTTTCACGGCTCGGACCTGAAACCGCCAATGTACTCCACTATCTCTGTGCTTATATGCAGGACTGAGATTTGGGCAAATCCTCAAGGTGGCAACTCTGAAAGCAGGACACTTTCCATTTGCAAGCCTCCCTAGAGGTTGGCCAATAGGTAGGCGGAAAAACTGCCAACGGCCTTTAAGAAAAATCATATTACATTTGGTACAAATTAATTTTTTCGGAAATCCCATAAGAAAACTGTTTTTGCAAAGCAGCCTGGTTTTACTCTTAGGTCCAACCTACCAGGACCATGCCCAACAACATACCTAGTTCCCCCGAAAATAAGACAGTGTCTTATATTAATTTTTGCTCCCAAAGATGCGCTAGGTCTTATTTTCAGGGGATGTCTTATTTTTCCATGAAGAAGAATACGGTACACATTTATTGCTAAATGAAAATAAAGGAATTTATTACCTGTATACGGTACGGTAGTTGTCAACACAAACCAAACAAACTGTGAATCCTACAGTATCAAGAATTTACTCATTTATTCAATGACAATCAAGTCATCATCTTCTGGAACATCATCATAACAATCCAATTCCTGAGTTTCCTGGTGAATTTCTTGTGACTCCATTTCTTTCAGAATCAGTGGAACAAATATCTCATGTTTAGCCTGGGGGGGGGGGGGGCCTTATTTTCGGGGGATGCCTTATATTTCACTCAGAAGGAAACCTGTAAGTAGATCTTATTTTCGGAGGATGTCTTATTTTCGGGGAAACACTGTACTAACACTATAGTGCGGAAGAGAGATTGTTCTGTGAAGGGGGCCGTGGCCTGGCTAATGCCGGACCTTCGTGCTAGTTCCAGCCAGATCTGGGGAGAACAGAGATTACTTCCCATAAACCCCCTCATAGACCCTAGGACCCCTTTCCTAGGCTTCAAAATGTGCTGGTTCCTGGAACCGGCCCTTGCTCTGCCCTGGTACGTATATAATAAGGTGCTTTCCCCTTATCTGGGGCAGGTCATACCCCAGGACCCCTTTCCACCATGCCCTGTCCTGTGTAATTCTTTAGCACCTGCCACATGGCAGAGATGATAGCTATGTCGTCTTGCCAACGCCCAAGATGTGCCTCCTAAGTAAGCTCTCAGTGTAAGGATGCTGTCAGCCTTTCTTTGGTCTCTGGCCTCCCGGTAAATTTTGTATAACAAATTTAAAACCAACACTCCTGGACCACGCTCACCAATATACCAACAGCGTGCCCACCAACATACTAGGACCACGTCTACCAATGCACTAGCACAGTGCCCACCAACTTAGGACTATGGCCGTGGACTGTCAGCACTACGTGGAGTCGCCACACCCAAATTTAATTTTCAGTCCAGCACCCTTTCCTTACTACTTAAGGTAATCTTCAGGGGATTCGACACTGCTGCCCACACAGAATTTTATCACTATGGGTTTTTTTTTTTGTTTTGGTTTGAGTCAGCCTCTGCTGATTCCTAATAAGCTGGTCTGGAAAGGAGAGATGAGTGAAATTTTTTTTAAATCACAATTTGTCTATGAACAGCACTGGGGGAGCTCTAATTTTCAGCAAACAGGAAATTCTCTCTCACTCCACGTGGGTGCTTCCCCAGAGAAAGGGGATGTATTGCTCAGCTCTACCGGATCTGAGGACCGCCCACAGGAGGCAGGGTACAGGAACCATGCGGTCTGTCACTGCGGAATTACCAAGATGAGGTGTAAACGAATGAATGGGACACACGTGGGTTCCAGACCTTGGCCTAGAACCAGAGATGGCCTGGGGATTCGGAATGGCCCGGGTTTTGAAGATGGCCGGGGGCTCGGGGAGGAGGGAAGGTCCGGGGTCCCCCCCATCCCAGACACAGCCCAGCTCCCACGGAGGGTCCCGCGGTGGTACTCACGCACGCAGAGGCAGGCCACGAGCTTGGCGGCCTCGTCGGGCACCGGGCAGGTGGGGAAGAGCGGCTTGAGAAGGTAGGTGGCGAAGACCAGCGCCACGATGTACTGCGAGGAGGGCCGGATGATGAGCAGCTCGATCCAGAGCTTGAGGAAGGCGGGCAGCGAGCCGTACACCTCCAGCATGTAGGCGTAGTCCCCGCCCGACTTGGAGATGGTGGTCCCCAGCTCGGCGTAGCAGAGCGCCCCCACGATGGAGAAGACGCCGCACACGGCCCAGATCACCAGCGCCAGCCCCGGCGAGCCCGCCTCCTTGAGCACGCCGGTGGGCGTCACGAAGATGCCCGAGCCGATGATGGTGCCCACGATGATGGCCACGCCGTTAAGCAGCGTGATGTTGCGCTGCAGTGTCACCCCCTCGCCCCCCGCCGCTCCCGCGCCCCCCGCGCCCCCCGCGCCCTCCGCGCGCTTCGCCGCCAGCATCCGCTCCCGAGCCTGCAGCTCCTCTTCCTCGGCCGCCGCGCGGGCGGACGACGAGCGCCGCTTGGGGCCCGTGCCCGCCATGCCGCCGCCTCGCCGGAGGTCGGTCAGGCAGACAGGAGCACGCGCCGCGGACTGGAGAGCGGCCCTCACCGGCTTTTCTAAGCCAGGCCCGCCCCGCCCCGCCCGCCGCCGTCCCGCCCCGCCCGCCGCCGCCCCGCCCCGCCGCCGCCTTGGCCCCGCCCAACCTCTAGAGCCTCTACTACCAGCGGACTCGGCACTACCCCCTCCGCACAGGCCCCGCCTTCCAGGGCGCGCAGGTGCAATCAGCCGGCCCCTTCCCGCCCGGCCTGGGGAGCAGTCCGGCCCACGTGGTCCGGAGGGAGGGGCGCCCCGCCCCGCCCCGCCCCGCCCCGCCCCTCGCCCTCCGCTGCAGTTCCCGCCAAGTTTGGGCTTGGACCCCACCGCCCACGTGGGCCCGAAAGCCCCTCGGCGGTTGGGCCGCCCACCCTTGCCCCAGGCTGGAAGCGGGCGGTGTAGTCCAGCGGGCCTGAGACCAAAATGCAGAAAAGGTGGGATTTAGGCCGGTACCGGTTTGGCTCAGTGGATAGAGCGTTGGTCTGCGGACTGAAAGGTCCCAGGTTCTGTTCCAGTTAAGGGCATGTACATGGTTTCGGGCACATCCCCGGTAGGGAGTGTGCAAGAGGCAGCTGGTCGACGTTCCTCTCTCATCAATGTTTCTAACTCTCTATCCTTCTCTCTTCCTCTCTGTAAAGAATCAATAAAATATATATTTAAAAAAAAAGAAGAAGAAAGAAAGGGTGGGATTTAGGGGACACTGGGACTCAGAGGAGGCCTGCCTGTTCCCTAGAGAAAGTCCGTCCAGGCCCGGTGGGGTGCGGGTTTCCATCCCTGATGGGCTAAGCGTCATGGAACCCACCCGTCACCCCCCCAGTCTGCTCATCCGGCCACCTGGGAGGCATGAAGAGCATTGAATGGCCCCTCCTGGGAGAAGCTCATGGTCCAGCTGGGAGGTCTGGGATAATCACTGGGCTGAGGGAGCAGGAGGCATTCCCATTTTATCCCGACAGGAATCTCTTTGCCAAAGGACAGTGTGCAGGGCATACAATTTTGAAAAGCAATGACACAAATTTTGGGAAACCCGTTATTTGCATACACTCAGTTAAATGAGACAAAATGGGGGATTCCCAAAGAAGCACCCTGAAAACTGTGCCCCCAAATTTAGGTTGGAAGTTCAACGAATTTAAAGGTGGACTGCAGGTGACGAACACAAGAGGCATCTTAGATCAGAAGGGTTGCCAGGTAACCAGAGCGAGGTCAGAAGTCAGAGGGAGTGCAGGATGACCGGTCACTCCAGGCCTGGAAGCAAGAAAGAAATACTTGCTGATCAAATTAACATGTGAACTGGAAAAGAACTTGAGTCCCTTCTGGGGGACTTTAGCCAAGGCATGTCGTTCTGGACCTTTCTGCACCCTGATAGAGCCCGCCCCCCTACCCTAGCGTGTCAGTTATTCATCTGCAGTGTTAGAGTCAAGTGAAATATTGACAGCCTGGAGGTCACACAACACAAATATTAACTTGCGAGACGTTGTCTAAATTGGTGGCTTGGGATAATAATAATTAAAAAACAAACAAACAATCTCTTTACTCTTGTTCTTTTCAGAGGTTGCAATGGCCAAGCAAACTTACAGAGTCCTTATTGGGTACCAGGCACTGTGCTGAGCCTTTGGAATGCAGATTCTTACTTAATGGAGTAGGTGCTATCGTTAGAGCCAGATTGTAGATGAGGAAGCAGGCTTAGTGGAGTGATTTAATTTTGACCAGTAAGTGAGCTGGAACTCCATCCTTATAATGATCCCTGAACCTATGAGTACTTTTAGTCATTCTGCCACCCTTCTTCCTGTGGCTTATTCATCTCCAGTCTGTTGTTAAGTTTTTGTCATTTATAGCAGCTAACATTTGAAAATCCCAGGATGGATTTTGGTTTCAAAAGGAAGGGCATCATTTGGCAAAGCTCTAAGGCCAGGTCCCAAGAACCTCTGCCTGGATTCATGCGGCTGACACCTGCAGGGGCCACTGCACTGGGCTCCAGTGAATGCCACCGCCACCGGCAGAGAGAAGGGTCAGTAATCACACATGGAAGTGATATGCTAAGGGCACTATGAGCGCCCAAGGGCACTGAGAGCCTTGCCTGAAATCCAAGATTTAGCAAAGAGTGCCATCTACTGGTCGTATCATTAAGGAGCTTTTTGTTCATACACTACCCTGTTTCCCTGAAAATAAGACAGTGTGTTTTATATATATATATATATTTTATTGATTTTTTACAGAGAGGAGGAGAGAGAATAGAGAGCTAGAAACGCCGATGAGAGAGAAACATCGACCAGCTGCCTCTTGCGCACCCCCTACTGGGGATGTGCCCGCAACCCATGTACATGCCCTTGATGGGAATTGAACCTGGGACCTTTCAGTCCGAAGACCGATGTTCTACCACTGAGCCAAACCGGTTTCAGCGATAGTGTCTTATATTAATTTTGCTCCCAAAGATGCGCTAGGTCTTATTTTCAGGGGATGTCTTATTTTTCCATGAAGAAGAATACGGTACACATTTATTGTTAAATGAAAATAAAGGAAATTTATTACCTGTATACAGTACGGTAAGTTAATTTTCATTCTGAGACAGAGCCTGGGGGGGGGTGTGCTTATTTTGGGGGGATGCCTTATATTTCACTCAGAAGGAAACCTGTAAGTAGGTCTTATTTTCGGAGGATGTTTTATTTTCGGGGAAACACGGTAGTCAGTAATTTATTGAAAATCATGTCATTGATTCTCACCGAGGCTAAAGGGGAAAATATCTTGAACATTTCTGTAGGGAGAAGTTTGAGAGATTCCATCAAGAGCCTTAAAATCGTGTGTTCTGGTTAGCCAGTAATTTCACTTTTAGGAATTTCTCTAAGGAAATAAGGAGTGTTCTGTGTTTTGGCTATGTACACGGTTGCTAATTACAATTTTAAAATATAATAGTCAATATTGGATATAAACCAAACAGATTTGATTTGGCAAATGTTGCTATATCTGCATAGTGAAATACACTATGATCATTAAAAACATCTTTGCTGGAAAACTACATTCGTGATAGATCATGAATGAAACAAGGGGGTATGACACTCCAAGGCCCCATTTGGTGCTCTAGCTGAGCTGGGACTCCAAGTGCATTTCTGAGATCCGGGAGCGCTGCCGTTTTGTAGGAGCAAGCCGTTCCTCTTTCTCGGGTGTCACCTGGCCTTCTGGGAAGGAACGCTTCTTCTTGGAACAGGAAGGATTGGTTTTGGAGAAGCTGAACTGCCCCGGAGGAGAAGCTGAACTGGCACTCCGGTCAGGCAGGCCTGCACCTGCTGTAGGTTATAATCCTCTGAGGAAGCCTCTCTCTCCGGTTCGGAGTCTTAGAGGCTTTGGGGCCACCTGAGGAGAAAAGAGCCTGTCACAGGCCCTCCACTTGCCAGGAGGCAGGTTGGAGGTTAGGCCAATGTACTAGCTGCCCTTCAAGCTTTTTCTGCCCACTTTCTGAACTCTTTTTTTTTTTTTTTAATTTTTAAAAACTTATTTAAAAAGAAATCATTTTATGTTTGTTTGTTTGTTTATTTATTATTAATTCCCACCCTGGGATATTTTTTTCATTGATTTTTAGAGAGAGTGGAAGGGAGAGGGAGAGACAAAGGCAGAGAAACATTGATGTGAGAGAGACAGATGGATTGGTTGTCTCCCATATGAGCCCTGACCAGGACTGAGGATCGGATTGAGCCTGCAGCCAAGGTACATGCCCTTAACCAGAATTGGACCTATAACCTTTCAGTTGGTAGGCTGAGCCAAACCAACTAGGGCTGAACTCTCAACCATTATCTCCTTCAGTGAACTTCAGATTCCTGATGGCAAAATGTGGGCTAAAGAAAATGGAGCGTGGGGAAAATGATGAAAGTGGTTAAAAGGTACAAACTCCCAGTTATAAGATAAATATGTCCTGGGATGTAATGTACAGTGTGGTGACTATAGTTAACAATACTATAGTGTATGTTGAAAATTGCTAAGTGGGTATGTCTTAAAAGTTCTCATTACAAGAAAAAAAAGAGGTAACTGTGAAGTGATAGATGGTAACTACATTTATTGCAATGATCATTTTGCAATATAAACAAAAAATCATTGGGTTGAACATCTTAAACTAATACAATGTTTTAAAAATATGTTTTTATTGATTTTGAGAGGGAGAGGAAGGGAGAGGAATAGAGAGATAGAAACATCAGTGAGAGAGGAACATCATCAATCAGCTGCCTCCTATATGCATCCCTTCTGGGGATTGAGCCTGCACACTGGGCATGTGTCCTGACCAGGAATAAAATCTGACCTCTTGATTCCTGGGACTAAGCTCAACTGCTGAGCCATATTGGCTGGGCTAAACTAATACAATTTTATATGTCAATTATCTACAGTAATAAAAGAGAAAGATGCAAATTGACTGTACCTTTGCAATGCCCACCAGCCAATCAGGAGTTAGTATGCAAATTAACCCAACAAAGCTGGAAGGTTAATTTGCATATGCAGGTGCAGAGCAGCTGGGGGAAAGGGGAATCCCAGTCCCTCCAGGCCTCTGGGCAATGTGGAAAGGCAGAAAGGTGGCTCCAGGCTGGAGCAAAGGCAGAAAGGCAGGTCCAGTCCGGAGCGAAGACAGTGCCGGCAGCCACAGGAAGGAAAGCCCATTCTTGCACGAGTTTTTGTGCATCGGTCTTCTAGTATCTCAATAAAACTGGGAGGAAAGGAAATGGGAGGGGTTTATGGCAGAAGTGTAAACCATGGGCTTGGAGAGAGGTTTCCTGAGTTCTCACCTGGGTCCCATTGCACACCAGCTGAAGGAACTTGGGCAAATCCTACCTCTCTTTGGGCCCTGATTTGCTTATTTTGAATGGGAATAGGAGCACCTACTACAAATGAACTAGTATGTGTAAAGCAATTAGAACAGCATGTGTCACAAAAGAACTCAATAAATAGTAACCACTAGTGGTAGTTATCTATATACATAATCTAAAGCCAAGCAACTGGAACAACCAGAACAACTGTGATGCTCACTGTGGCCAGCCCATTG